TGTTGAAATACCAAATGTAGAGCTTGTTTACTCGCTGGTTACTGAAATAAAAAAACAAAATGTCACAATATTTGTTGTTAGTTTGTTGTATTCTCACCAGGTGGTGTTCCTCAAAGTGCATAATGATGGTATATAAAGGTCATGTCGGGCAGAGTCCTTTATGGCTCCATTCAATTTCTTAATCTCAAAAATTGATCTTCCCATTTGGGCCTTCTTTTAAATGCAAATGTTGCTTATATGGTCAGGTAGTCCGCTTATGTAAATATTTTCTGTCTCATTTACAACACCCATGTTAGGATATGACTACAAGGCAGTAGAGGTTTAAAATCAAAGTTTTCCTCCCTCTAGATTGACTGTCTTCTCATGTTGATGAGCTCTCTCTACTTGAAGTATCTGGTTTTGAGGTGACAGAGGTGTGCTTTTGCCCCTTCTCCAGTTTGGAGATGAACTTAGTTGTCAGAGTTTATTTGTGATTAGTGGTGTTCTGAACTTGAGAAGAGATGTCATGTTTTTTCATAGCTAAAAAAAAAAAAAAACGTATCCGAAGTTTAACTTTTAAATTTTAAAAAAGTAAATATTGTTTGAAACTAATAATTTTACATAATTCAAAATTAATATTTATTTTCTTTTATTTAGAATATCTATATAATTTTGATTATTATATTTAATTGTATTTATATATGTATTGATTATTACTTATCTCAATTTTTTCTGCAGTTACCATTTTTTCTCTATCAGTTTTTGTGCAACTATCTTGACAATCATTTTTTTTTACTTTTTCTTTTTGCTTATCTAACATTAGATTTATCAACTTTGCCTTTTCTACTCTCATTTATTTTACCAATTGATAGTTTAGTTGTTAGTACTGTCAAAAAAGTAGTATAGATTATTTTTGATGTTATAAATAATGACTTCATAATCTCTGCGTATTCCGGGCTTAAAGCCCAAATTATATTTTTCTTTCAGCTACCTTTTTCCACTGTTATCAAAAATTTCATCTTTATGTTTGTACAAATATTTTGTAATTTGGATTGCTTTCTCATTTTTTTTCGTTTAAAACAAAAAAAAAAAAAAAAAATTTTTGTTGTCAGTTTCTAAAACACACAGTATATGTAATTTTCATATATGCACATTATATATGTTCCAAGGGTTGTCATAGCCAGGGACGGTACTGGCAACAAGCTCACACTGTCAAAAAAATGACCCCATGAAACATGTCTGAAGTAACCTCTGACAACTGAGTCCATCTATAAACTGGAGAAAGGGATAAAGGTAGACCTCTAGCAAATAATGACCAGATATTTCAAGTAGATGGAGCACATCAGCTCAGAAAGGCAGTTCATCTAAAGGAAGGAAAGCCCTGATTTTAAATCTATGCTACCTTGAGATCATATCCAAACATGGAAAATACTGTGGAAGTAAATCTAGACAGAAAATCCACAATGGAGCATCAAAAACAGTTGTTTGTCAACACGTCTGGCAATACCCACAGTCAAGTCAGCCCCAAACGTAATACTATGCACATTTCATTGAATACGACAGACAAGGTGCTTTGAGTTAGTTTTTTTTATACAATTTCTCATGAGATCTAATAATTTTTTTCTTTTCAGATGATAAATTAGATAAAAACTGTCTGAATGTTCTTTTTTCTGAATGCTTTCAGCTATACATTTAGCCATTTTCAAGGCTGAAATATTTTAACTCTTAAATAAGGAATAGTTTGTTGCATGTATGTATTTATATAATGTTTTCATTTTTCAAAACTCGGTCAAGATATTGTGTCCACGTTCATAGTTGATATTATTGAGGACTGTTTTTTTGTTTTTATTAATAAGGCTTCCATTTTTTAGCCTTTTTTTGCATGTAGATGATGCTATTAAATTTGTGTTGTCAACAAGTATGTAATGAATGAGAAATTGCATAAAAAATTAAATGAAAGCACCTTGTCTGTCGTATTCAATGAAACGTACATGAAAGAAGGGTTGTTTCCTAAATACACAAATATATATATATATGCAATTTTTTAAATATATTATTTATTTATGATATATGCATAGTACTTGATGGAAAGCACTCAATATCAGTGATAGAGCTAACATATTTAGTTGGATTGATCCTACTAAATATATATATATATATATATATATATATATTTCTGTATATAAGGTGACCTTTAAATCTTAAAAATGACCTCCCAAAATAGGGGGTCATCTATTACAACAGTTACAAAAAGTTAACCTTAAATCCTTTGGTATATCGGCACTGGTAAATAGGCTTGTCTGCTTGCACCGTAGATAACAGAAGTTTAACAACTGACTCATTATAGGAAGGACCAATGTAAATATTTTTTATATCTGTCTATGTATTCGAGATTAGGTATTATAACTATTTACATTGTTCAGATGAGTACAACAGTCTGAACAATGTAAATAGTGTAATTAAATGTTTCTAGTTGAAACAGTTCACATTATAATGTTATACTGCAGTTATAAATGTAACAAAACTACTTTTACTTCTTGGTTTCACATTAAAATGCAATATTCAAGATATTGATTTATATGTTTAATGTTTTCTTATATCCCTTATGCATTCATATAACCTTTTATTTAAACTTCTTGAGATTTCTCCAATATATTCTTACAGGCCATCCTTACAGGGATATTTTAAAAAAAAAACAACACATTAAGTGCATTCGTTGCTCACTGTAACAAAAATGACCACAATTTTGATATAAAAAATGCTACTCAAATTAAAAGAGAAAATAATACATTAAAACAAAAATGTTTAGAAAGTGATTTAATCACTTGTTCATCCATAGAAAATTTGTGTTCAGGTTCTTACAAACTTTCACCGTTCTTGGCAGATCTTCTATTATCACAATGTGGAATGTTTAATAACAAAGATGTTGGAGAGAAAGACAATAAGAAAAAGATTCTAAATGTAATTGGGTAGATTATATAACAAAAACACATATGAAAAAAAAAAATTATTTTTTAATTTTAAAATTCTCAATGTCTCTTATACATGTGTTGTCACATCAAAATAAACAAACACAGTCCAATGAAGTCCTAAACAACAAAATGCGTCATATGGAAACTTTTTCCACTTTCCTTCAAAATTGTTCTTACTATACAAATATATATATATATATATACAAACACACACATATATTATATATAAAAATACATGTTATGACCTGACAATAGAAAGCAGCTGATAAAATATGCCAAATTTTATCCCAAGCCAATATATACAAGAGAGCACCTACCTGACAAATCAACCAGAACTCATGGTCAGAAAGTGAAATTTCTAACGACTTCGTAACACACACACACATATATATATATATTTTTTTGCACTGTCTCTTGACATAGAGCTTTGAGGATCTATATACTCTTGGAAATTTCATATGGATTACCAATAAATTTATATATATATATATATATATATATATATATATATAAAAAATATATACATAAAATATATATACTATATATATATATATATATATATATATATATATATATATAAATAGACATATATATATAAATATATACATATATATACATACTATATATATATATATATATAAATATACACACATACATAAATATATATATATATACTATATATATATATATATATATATATATATATATATATATATATATATATATATACACATATAAATATATATATATATATATATATATATATATACATATATAAATAATATATATATATATATATATATATATATATATATATATATATATATATATATATATACACAAATTAAATTTAATTTAGACAGCTAAGACCCACCATGACATGTTTCCTGGAACAAATCATCCCTATTCACTATGGTGATTTTCTAAACGTAGCTTAGATATCACACAAGGTCGAATCTATGGGGAGTCAGTGAGGTCCGAACTCACTATTCAGTCACAACTGTTCTTGCAAGACAAGTTTTCTAACCATTACACCACACTGAAGTGCCTCTTCCCCATTCAACATGTATTCTATTAGTAAGAAAGTTCAATTTGAACAGCCTTTTCTCCAGAACCACTACTTTATGGAACATATTCCCGAGAGAGTGCTTCCCCAATCACAATAATCAATTCTGGAGTTAGCCATTATCTTTCTTACATCTCCTCCTAAACTGTACTCCTTACCTCTTCTTCTCATGTGCAAGAACCTCAATCAGTGACACTCTACCTTGACTTTTCCTTGGGCTTTGTATTGGGTAAACAATCAGTTAAAAAAAAAAATTATCAATATATACAATCATTTTGTGAATTCTTCAAATCATTCTATAGATTTTGAAAGTCAAGATTTAATTTAACTTTTGCTTTGAGAACAGCTGAAAGTTTTCAGTATAGCCTTCTTCAGTTGCCAAATTTGGAGTCAGACATGATTTCAAACACTATTATCACTAACTGAGAACACCTCAGTAATTTATATTTTATATAAAGAAATAGTGACTAAAATCTTTAAGCACTGACACAATTAAAACTGCTCTTTAATAAATTCAATTTCATGAAGAGTTACTTGAAAAACATTCTCTTCATATTTAAATGAATATTTATTGCAGAACATGCTATGGATTCTTCATTCAGGCTGCACATTTCTCTGGATGGTGAAAATGTCTACAGGTATCTGAATCAAATGCTCAACAACAGAGTTCCCAATTAGGTATCCATTTAAGCATTTCCTAATGAGATTAGAGTAATTAATAAGAAATCGAAAACAATTTTAAGTCACCTCATTCAGAAGCAATATTGTTGTGAACATCAACTGTAATGAACACATAATGTAACTGAGGCAGATTCAATTTTCAGTAAAAATGATTGATATTGACTGGGCCAATTTCGTTTTAGCCTTAGCAGCACTACCTGTTACTGCAAGGGCTTTGTGGTTGAGGCACTCAAGTGGACAAATACCACAAGGTACAAATTACTTCAGACTTGAACTGAAAAGAGTTCTGGCTTATTCTGATATCAAGTTAAATGCAACATTAACAAAAAGAAAGTCAACAGGGGTAATAGGATGTAAGGTGGAGAGTAAGTATCAATCAGACAGGTAAGAAAAGATGTCTGACTGATGCAATAGGTGAACCATGATGGAAGGGGCTGGATACTGCAAAAGGATGCAACAAGACAGAATGAGGACAATGATGAAACAAGAGAGTGAGATGAGGTGTGGTAGTGGGAGGGTGATGATGATGATCCAGGAAAGGACAGGGAAGAGTACAAGTGAAGCAGGAAAAAGAGGATAGTGCAGGAGAAGGAGTATGGAACATGATACAGGAGAGGGAGAGGATCAGAAGGTGGAAAGAATAAGTGGGAAAAGAAAAACAATGCACAATGGAGAAATAAGGACAACAAAGGAGGAAAAGAGGAAAGATGAGAGGGAAAGAGAAAGAGGATAGAGCAGTGTATTGGTGGAGGTGGGGAAGAAGAACAAAGCACAATACAGAAGGGGGATAATAAAAAAAGAGGAGGAAGGAGTAGGGTATAGGAAGGAGAGAGGAAAGACAATGGAGAATGACACTGTAAGAGAGGAAAAAGGATGGTAAATGTTATTGGATGAGGAGAAGAAAGAGGATAAAAACAATGTACAGAAGAAGGAGAGAAAGGTGGATAGAGCATGATACATGAGGAGGAGGACAGAGTACAATATAGAAAAAGGAGGAGATGAAAGAGTTAAAGGGAAAGATGATGGGACATAAGGGAAGAAGACAAGGACAGAATATGATAAGAAGTAGGAAAGGAAAAAAATTAGAAGGTAATCTAAAAGAGCTGATGGCAAAATGTATGTGGGGGGGGAGAGAATTGAAGATTGATTCATTGTTTTGTTGTTTTTTTATGATTTACCAACCTTTTGTTTTTTTATGGCTTATCAAGCCTTTGTACATTGTTTGAAGCCAAAATATATTTTGGGTTGTAAGAAGTTTTCTTTTTATCTAGTGGATATTGTATTTTTTCTGGATACAAATTATATTATTAAATCCATAGCTGGGGGGAAGAGATGGATTTATATCTTTCCCAAGGGTATTGCTGCATAAGTTTATCAGGTATAAGCCATATACCATAAATTTTCTTTAAACTCGAAAGTTAAGGATTTGTTGACAAATGTTTATATGGACTTTGGTACTTGTCTTCATGTGAGGAACCTGTCCCTAAAGTTTCTAAAAGTATTTTTGATACACCCTATATATATATATATATATATATATATATATATATATATGTACAGGTGTACGAATTGAATGTAGGAATTATGTGATCAAAAAATAATTATCTTGCAGGAAAAAACAAAAAACATGCATGCACTCGGAAAACCATGATCCTGTCAAGGAAGAATATAAAAAAGTACCTCCACTCCTCTGTCTCAAAGAGCGACCTGGCTGACCAATTTCTATTTTTTTCCTCTTCCCATATTTTCTCTCTCCTTTCTCCCTTTAAATTCAAACAGCACCTCAATGCCCACAGTTCTCATCATAGAGCTCCATGGATCTAATCTTTTAATCTATAATCATTTTGACCCTTTTTCTGCAGATTCTGCAATTGCCTTTCTCTTTTTTTCTCCCCTCAATCCAATTTGACTTAGGGTCCTGCATAAAGATCTTCTGAAGAAACCATAACAACCAACTTCAATAAGAAGAAAGGTAGTCTGCTATTGGTTGGACTTGCATTTCTCTATCAGCTCCTTGTATTTTTTGAGCTTTCTTTCAAAAGCTTCTTTCATATCCTTTTCCCAAGGTACTGAAAGTTCAAGCATTATAACTTCCCTGGAGACAATTGACCAGATTATTAAATCCAGTTGCAGGGAAGATGTTGTTATCTGCTCTGGAAATTTTAACTGTCTCCCAACATCTAATTTCAATTGCCAGTTTCAGATGGAAGAGAGCATGTAAGCTGTCGGTTTATGCGATGAGGGAGGGTTTTCACCAGCTTCGACAAAGTTAATCACCTTCATTTCAGGCTTGAAACTGTTAACATTGATGGCTGTGGCCACTGTCTTTGCCAATGATTTAAGTACCTGGTTATGTCTCCATCAGTACCTCTCATCGCCAAAGGCCCTTGGCTAAGCACTTAGAATATATATAGAGAGAAAATGAGTCTTTTTATATATACATATATATATATATATATACGGAGAGAGAGATAGAAAGTAAAGAAATAAAGATATGTGTTTCCTCTTTCTCTCTCTCTCTCTCTATATATAAATATATATTTCATTCTTTTCTCTATCTCTAAATATATATATAAAGAGAGAGAAAGAAGATATGTTTCCTCCTTTTCACTCTCTCTCTCTCTATATATATATATATATATTATCTCTTATATATATATATAACTATATTTTCTTTATTTTCTTATATATATATATATATATATATATATATATATATATATATATATATATATATATATAGAGAGAGAGAGAGAGAAAAGATACAAAAAACATATTTTAGCTGATACATTTTATCATCTGATATACTTTATCAAGGCAAATGTAAGGATTTTATTTTACAAGTATTTTAAATAGTAAATTGTTGAGGGAATCCAATTTATCATAAACATTACATACATCTTCAGAATAAATTAAATAATTAGTTCTCTGGAGATTACCTGATTTTTCTCCACTGTTTCTTTTATTGAAACTATCTTCCTCTATCTTATTTCACATTTCCACAGGAGATATGGAAACTGAACATAAAATAGGTTGTGCTAGGCATAGTTTCACCCAACACCACAAATTGCTATAAAACCAAAACTTAAATTTTCCAATCTATCCTGCCTCATACATCAAAGAAATTTCAACTCTCTCTTTGAGAAAATTTGAATTCTTGTTGTGAATTTGTTATCTAGAAGTATGTGGATAGCTTGCCCTTCCAAAATTTCAAAAATAGCGAACGATTGGATAAGCTGCAAGGAGTTTGCATTCAACTGTACTGTACCTTGCCTCTGTTGGTGATAGTTTTCTAAAGGGAAAAAGAAATTGGTTTCCACTGGCCACTAATTTTCTAATGCAAGTAATGCACCTACACCAGTGAAAGAGGTGTTCACTCCAAAACACAACTCCTTGCTTGAAACAATATACTGTTAAAAGTCACCAAAAAACAAGTAAAAATCTGTTAGTTGACCAAGAAAACTAACTCTACTCGAGTTCCAAATCCAAATCCAGGTTTTATCACTCCAGTTGGTGGGACCTCTTATTAATTGACCATGTCTTCAGGGCTATAGCCATTCTCACCATGGCCAATTGCAGTTTAGTTAGGCTATTTAACCCATAGTTGGGGTGGATGTTCATTGATTGAGAAGTTCATCTTCCCTTGAACAGCTCTTTTTGTGCTTCTGCTTGGAGGGTAGCTTAGTCACTCAGGATTTGAATTCAAAGTTGTCCTTGTCCTAGACCAGTTGCTCCCCATCCTCATGGCTATACGACCCAGTCTGCCCTGCTATTTACTCCTAGCTGAGAGCAGAAAAGATTGATTCATACCTTTCTCAGGTTAGCGAATGTAACTCAACTAGAAATTGAACTCAGCTCTCCAATTCCTCAATCCAAGCTGCTATCCATTACTCCACCATGCTACTGTTAGTTGACTAGGAAACCATATATTTAACTCTGCTATAGTTGTTTTCAATTAAAATAGGAGAGGGAAAGAAGTTAGGACAAATAGCTTGTTGGATTTCATGTTTTCAAGATAAAAAAGTGAATTAAATAAGGAAAACAAGCTCATAGGTATGTAATGAGATAGAAGGTTAACTACATGAAGGTACACTTAGCAATTGCTAACTCTGCTTAACTCTTCTTATTTACCTAAATGAATGATTACATTCATTTATGTCCTAAATAACAAGCTTCAGAAACTTCTTCAGGACAACACTTTGAAATTTTTGAAGATGACTATGTATTACATTTTGACTAAATCATATATATATATATGTAATAATAATAATGGACTCTCCCATCAGTTTTGACGTATAAGGATCTGACAGCTTAGTTGATTCAGTTATGAAATTATGTGCGATTATCTTAAGTGGCATTTAAGACCCTCCAGTAATTTACAAAGGAGGCCACATATGGAGCAAGAGTGAGGATTGTGAGATGAGATCACTGTTAGATTGGCTGACCTTTTAGTTCTTGCTCTCATTTCTTGAATGAGATTCAGACAAGCAGATTGTAAACTGCTGAGTCCACTAAAACACGTTGATCTCCATTCTACCTGTTCCAAGGCTAAGCACTCAAGGGTGTTATGTGGTGTGGTATATTGACATAACACCCTTGATTGCTTAGATTATATATATATATATATATATATATATATATATATATATATATATATATCTTATGTAGTATTACATTGTTATTCCCCAGCTGATGAGATGTCTAAAAAAGGTTTTCCCTTTTTTGACATTGAAACAAAAATGTACAATTTTGTAGTGCATGTGTGCATGTTCTAATGTAACACTGCATAAGATAAATATTTACAGCTCTACTTTGCATACTGATCAGTGTTTTTAAATTAATGTTTTGAATGCTGTAAACTTACTGTTCATTTACCTACACTATGTTATATATATATATATATATATATATATATATATATATATATATATATATATATATATAACACCCACTTCTTTCTTTCATTTGCTTGCATGCTGAATTCCACAATCATTTTACCAAGTCTTCACCCACTCGTTTCAAATTTTCTATCAATAAAAAAGTCATTTTTCCATCTGAAGTTCCTTGAACATTTGGACAGCATCTTGTGGATAAATTTTCCTCAAAATCAACTTGTCATGAGGCAGTATTAAAAAATACAGAAGACATAGAAAATAATTTTCTAGAAATCACCAATAATTTCCATCTGAAAATTTTTTATGACTGAAATTTGAAATAAAAGATTTTTTTTATATTATACTCTTTATTTGCACAATATCAAGCAAGAATACTTAATACTTAAAAAGGTTTTTCATATATTCTTTTGAGAAACTAAATATACAACACAGTGTTACCAAAGAATTACTTGAAATATGTGTAACAGGTGGTTAAATCTCACTTTGCAAACTTCAAGAAAAATAAATATTCTATTGTTAGAAATTTATTATAAAAATAAAGTAGTGTGTGTGTGCATGTGTGTATATATATATATATATATATATATATATATATATACATACACTATGAGATAACAATACATATTTTTATATATCAAGACCAGTAAATTGTAAGACAAAACAGAAAAAGTTTATTACAAACTTTTTCCAGTTTGTCTTATAATTTCCCCCCTCTCTGTCTCTCTCTCTATATATATATATACATATATATAATTAAAACCCTTTATTCTAAATTCAACATCATCACTTGATAAGACAACAGAAGTGTTGAAAAAAATGGCTATTTTGTAGTGATTTTATAATATTTTTATGTTATAATTTTTGAATAAATGATTATATTTGCTCTACTCTATATTGAGCATTCTTTTAAGAATGGTATTTGTTGGTTATTGGAATTTATTCCATATACACCAATCCTATACTTGTGTGTGTGTATTTATATATATATATATATAAATTATTGAAAAATAATTTTTATTTCTTATGACTCTTTGTATAAGATCTATGTTCTTCATCCA